ATAATATATTAAATACACAAATACAAAAAAACTTCATCTTATCGCAGTGAGCCATGAATGCTACAAATCAAATCCTCTAATGTTTACTAGTCATTTGGTGGTTCGTCAAGTTCGGCAAACAACAACTAATTGACTACCAAGTCAAAAGCAGACCAAACAACGTAGCTGGGTGAAACATGAATTGAGTTTTTGCAACACTTAATTAGCACAGAAAGGCAAGACAAGCACAGAAAATGGATATTCCTAAATCCAAATTTAATCAGGAGATTTTAACCAAAAGTGGTGCTTTCTATAAGGAATCTCGAGGTTGTAGTCATGATACCAAAACGCAGCCTGCATCAACCTGCATGACCGAATGGCTAAGAGAGCATAGAAGTCAGAGTTGTGTTTTTGGGGCCACCTCAGCCTTAAGCAGAACATTTTGTGTTCTGGAGCTGAAGTAAACAGATCCCAATTACAGCTGCTGCAAACCAAGTACAGGCACTGGAAAGGTTTGGCAAGGAGGAATGGTTGAATCTCCGACCAGAGGTTGGCCAAGAACAAGAAGTTCTAATAAACTATTAAAATGACTTAAGGAAGCACCTGCTCAAATTTATCAAAGTCAAAGGAGGGTCAACAAAGTACTGTCTGAGGCCATATCAGTTAAACACAATGCATTTAGAAATGTTGCTATTCTAAACAGATCTTCTATTTAGACACACAATACTGAATGTCATACAGGTCTTTAGTTTCTGACCTACATCTATCAAGAAGTACTCAACGGACATTTGCAATTTCATGTGAAATGAACCTGTAATCGCCACTTACCAAGGGTATTAATACATCTGGAGGCTACTACTGTAAATGCATTGATCATTCCTTGATTATTCTCTTTGGAGACAGAAACGTTGGCTTTTTTTAATCAGTCAAAACCAACTATATCGTTTTTTTATATCGCTGCAAAAATTTGTGATGGATAATTTGGAACTGTGCACGTCGAATGATTCCTTTTGAGTGGAACAACCAGAGTCAACAGTTATTCACGCACAAGCAGAAGAACGAAAAGCCTCAGCACTGTGACCAGGCACTGCTGTGTCCTACCTGCGCCTGCCACCGCCTCCAGTATCCTCCAGCGCCCCTGAAAGTAGGGACCCCACTTTCTGCACTGACCCCTGCACCCGTAATAATTGCTATGTGCTTGGCTTTGGAAAACACCTGTCGGAATTCAGCCATATCTGCAGACAAAAGCAATACCGTAATTAAAAAAGAAAACATTTAATCCACAAGCAGTACAATTTTGATTGTTTGCAGGCTGATTAAGTCTTAACAACAGCTGTAAAGACGTTTTAGCTGCTACATGTCTCACAAATATAGGTCAATAACTAAAATATAAAACTACAATTTATCAGCCTTATGTAACACTGTGGTCTGTTTCTTTTTTTAAAAACCAATCATTTTTTTTTGATTCCCTGCTAGAAATAAAAAAAGATCAGTTGAACTGGATGACATCAGTTTCACACCATTACTGCAACCCTGGGAACTAGCACTTAGATGTTTTCTAAGATTTATGACAGTTTAAAAAATGCATTTTACACCTCCTTATTGCACAGTATTTTTACAACTAAGTAGTACTTACAATACCCTCAGCTACTGCATCCTGACCACTGTAAGCCAACAGAAGGATGGGTAATTACTGAAGGTCTGGAATTTGGCAGCACTAGTATAGTGTTAAGCTCTGTTACAGTAATGGAACCAGACTGTCCACAAGAACAATCATTATAGCTGACAAAGAGCTCTTTATAGTAGGGGAGCAGGGAACAGCAGCAGATGGCTTTGCAAAATTCTGTGCTTTTACTGGTTATCTAGTTTATGTGACAAATGTGGAGTGGAAAAAGGAACTTGGTCTTGTTTAATTATTTTATAATGAACAAGAAATTCCAACATCAATTCCTTTACACATTAATATTCTTTTGAGTTGAGCACTCGTGTGTATTTATGTTTGGTACCAATGAAGTAACAGGCCAAACCCATTCTTAGATTCCCTTTCCAATTATAGAAAAGACTACATGTCAGGGCCACAGCCACCTAGAATATAATCCCAAAGAATTAGGTCAAAAGTGACCTATCATCCAGATGGGACACCAGTTCATCGCAGGGTGTGCACGCACGCACGCACGCACGCACGCACGCACGCACGCACGCACGCACGCACGCACGCACACACAGCTGATGCTTACAAATGCTTAAAAAGATTAAACATTACACCCTTACTTCTCATGTATTAGTTGAATGATGAAAGAAAAAAAAACATTTGAGTGTTTTTTGTGAGGAAATACAAAATGTGTTTATTACTTATTTACATTGTACCTAATGAGTTTATTTTTTAATCTCTTTTGTCAGCTAAAGAGCTAACTACATATTTCTATAAGAACAAGATAAACCTAAATTGAAGAACTATACAAAACACTATCGCAGTGATTAAACAATATCCCCAATTATCCCATTTCCATCAATAACTTAATTTTTTCATTAGGTCAAACTTCTCAAACAAGCTTTCAAAGTAGTTTGAGAATGTCTGTGTGCCCAACAAAAAGAGTGAAAATGGTAAGACTTTAAACTAGACAAATTCCTACTGCGTGACTTGGGGTCCAATCAACATTTCACTGCAGAACTTATGCTTTACAAAAAAAGAAGTCTTTTTCCTTCCAATTATTTTTTTGAATATTCTAGTTTTGAAAGAGAACACTGTTCAGAACAAATAATAATAACACCCTTCATTCATTTATGTCTATAAACTACTTATGCAGAATGTAACAAGAAATAATTTTACTTTTGATTTGTCTTGACTAAGGTCTTGAACGGCGTGGCACAGTAAAGCCTTCTTCGATTACCAACATCTGAATGTGGTCTAAATATTTTTAAAACACGAAATGCCTTTTCCATATGCACAGCTTCAAGTCAACTCCAACAGACAAGACTGCACAAAAACGGTCAGTATAAAAAAAACTGCCTTTTTTAAGAGGTGCAGCCCCTGAGACCTACCTGAACTAGGGCGGGCCATGTCTGTGAAGCACCTCTGTCTCGCTAGAGAGTCTTGTGTTCCGCCACACACGTGAGAAACCAGTCTCCTTGCAGTAGAGCGGAAAAGAATCATTAGGATCTGTGTTTCACAGCTCTAGGAAAAAAAAATAAAGAGACAGGGGAAATAATAATCAAAATCTCACCGCTTATGCACCTCTGTCCAGGGCTGGCTTAACTCGCACACCTAGAAACAGGTGCTTGAGCTGAGCGAGTGGAAAATAAAGAATACTTCCTGTTCTGCAATCAGAAATCTGCTAGAGGAATGTCATTCATGTGTACAGGTAGGTGGGGATAGAGATATCATCAAGCATTTCTTCACAGTTGCCAAGTTCTTTCCAAGGGACATTTAAAAAACAAAATAAGGAAGGTTACAAAGGAGAGAAGACCACTCGGCCCATCTGGTAGTCAGTGGCTGATCTCACCCCGCTGTTTCTTGGAAGGAAACAGGTTATCAGCTTCAGCTACTTTGATCAGTCGCTGTTCCACTCAACCCTATAAAGATAAAGTATTTAAGTTGTGTCTTCTGTTCTCAGTTTTAAATGCACGTTTTTCAGTTGGTTTTCAGTTGGTTCGTGTCTCATTGTTGATTCTGTAGAGTTACTGGATTGTCAGTGTCCCTGAGGACTTTGAAAAGTTGGAACATTTGGATCAGTAATTCTCCAAGTAATACATTTTAGTAATCCATCAAAGGACATTTCTGTACAAGGGGTCAAGAAAAACAAACACTTTAGGAAACTTTGGGATGCTCCTTCTCTGTACAGCACCAGACACTTGGGGTAGTGTCCTTTTTTTCTGCAGTTTATACTTTCAAGGAATGGCTTGAAAGAAGTCAGGAGTCAACTTCCGTAGGTATATTAATGCATCACTCCTTTGATAAATTTGGTGCTGAGAGACCTATGACATATTAGTCATCATCCTGGAATATATCATGTCCAGTGTAGAGGAAAAAGGCTGCTATTTACTTAACTGAGTCAGTACTGCATCTTGACTGTATGTGAAAGGAAGTACAATTAATTAAATGGATAAAATAATTTCAGAACATTGAGGTGCTACACAAAAAAGCTACCATTCGTCAATTTGTTCCCTTCGACAATTTAAACCTCATAGCTTTTATCATCATTTAAAAGTAACTTTGCTGTCTCTCTAGCATTTGCATCTGCAGTTTTGTTTATCACCTCATGCCTTTACGTGCGTGTTTGTGAAGGCGCTGTCTGAAGGGCAGGGGACGAGTAACGTGCTCTTATCTTAACTTGAATTCACTTGTCCTATTTCTTAGTGTGGTTCTCCGACACTATGCAACCCTGACCAATACAGCAATCCACACAGACTCAAGAATCGCAACTATTTCAAAGGGGATATCCTAACACTTTAAAAAAAAAACATTTTACACAATGCAAAGCAAGCGCACTGCACCGATTATTTTTCACTCCGACAGAGTCGAAGTTTCAGCTGCTGCTCGAGTCAAAGACAAAAACTTCCGGGTTCAAAAACAAAACCCAACGTGCTTCATGCACCGTGGCACGACCTACCCCCTCTCCGTGCTCTCAGAAACACTGTTTTCCTGCTTCCTACTTCGACACAGTAAGAAAGCAAGTCCTGTGGATAAAGTGCAGATCGCCCTGCCCCACGCTAGAGCCGGAGTGATAGTTTAACACCAAGGAAACGTTGGCATCATGATGTATTAAGTTATTCGCACGACATTATTAGCACATTATCTCGCCCTCCACTGCATGCGCCGTACTCAGGATTTAAAACAAGATTGCGAAGATGTAAGCGCTTAAACCTACAGTACTAAATGCATGCCATTTATGCATCTACTAAGCTTTTTTTTCCTTAGCGACAACAGTATTTATCTCCCCCTCCCGCGTTACGGCGACGGCCCATTAAACTTCAATCGCTGCCCAACCCACCATCACCTTTACCCACCTTCGGCTGCGCAGACGACGGCAAGTGTTTACAAACAGAGGCGCGGAGTGGTGCCGTAAAGGTCTGTCGTGAAGTAGTGTACGAGCTCCTGGTCTCTTCGGTCGACAAGGGCAGGAAAACTGCAGCTCGGAATGAAAAACTAGATGAGCTCGTCCGAGGCGGAGCCCTCTGCTGGACACGGTTTTGTCGACCCGCGCAACGTGGGGAACGTCACGTTCCTCGGTTTCTAGTGTACTTTGCGCACGGAGAGATGTGGATTTTAGCTTTCAGGTCACCGCAGATCAAACCCTGCTAGGTAATGCAAGAGCAACAGGGGGATTTCTGTGAATTCAGCAGGTTCGACATCCGTTATCCAAATATCTCCCGGCTGTTTTCTATAAGCTTTTACAGCCAGTATCCAGGATGCAAAAAAAAAAAAAGAGAATCTAAGTCCGTTTCATTGAAATGAAGCTGGATGTGGTCCACAAAATAACCCACAATCACTTTAAACGTCTTTGGGATCCCGAACTTGTCAGATGAGAAACTTTCTTATATAAATCTAAAAGCTCAGACACAACCTAAAAGCTACAAATCAATATACAATATGTTGGGTTTTTTTTTTCTTAACAACACTCAAATCCCTTTTTAAAAAAGTGTTTAGGCAAATAAAATTAACTATTGTAATCACTGTAACACAATTTTAATAGGCTGCATTGTGTAAAAAGGGAACCAATTCTCATACCGCTTCCAGACACGTACAGAAAATGATTAAGTGTAAAAGAAAATATTTCTCACCACACAAACATTTACAGTGAAATCGGGCTAAGCGATTACAGAGCATTCTAAATAAAGAATGCTTGCAGTAACACACCATCTCCATCTCTTAAACAATAAACTAACAATACACGTAAGTCCATATAGTTAGAAGTGTGGAATTTTTAGTCAGGTGTTGTTACGTTAAAATTCTCCAAGACTAGTAGGAACTCTTGTAGAATATTTTGTACATTTTGAAAATAGAGAATAGGGGCCAGACACTGTACATTCCTGGGTTCTGTGCCAAACTCATTTCCAATAGTCTGTGCTCTCACAAGCTCTCAGGTGGGTACATGCTGTTTGATTAACTGCAAAACTGTAATATTTCTAACCTGACTCCGAAGTGTTTCATAGATAACTGTACCTTTATTGAAGTGAGTGTTTTGAATTGTGGGCTGTAAAAAAAACCTTCTGCATCATGCCGAATGTGTGTCCATGTGAGGAGATAATCAGGTTAATCGTTTAATTGACAAAACGGGTTGGAACTAAAACCACAAGATGACAGAGTCCCCAGGAACGGAGTCTGGCACTCCTGCTCTATGCTGACAGGCTGACAAGGCTGTTCTTCAGTCTTGAAGAGAGCAGGCTGCAAGGAGACCTGATACAAGAATTCAGGACCCCAGAAGGCCCTGAGTCAGCACAGTGATCCCCTTCATGATGATCACCCAAACTCGAGCAGAGGGCACATACTGTATGAGAACTACAGGGAAGTTCCTTTAACACTGAGCATTGGAGACCTTACATAACACAGTACATGGGAGGACTCTGGGACCAGCTACCCAGTGGTCGTGGTGCAGGTGATGGCCTGCCCAT